CACAGGAACGTGGCACTGGGACTGGGTCCCATCTTGGTGCTCTGGTGTAATTTTTGGGAAGTGGGTGGTCAGCATGCCCCAGGCTGGCACTGCTGCTCTGACAACCAGGAGAGGGGCACCCTGAGATCCCCACAAACCCTCCCCGTGCCCGGGCAGGAGGCAGAGCCCTGTTCCTCTGCCAGCAGCGATGCTGCCAGTGCCTCTCCCCTGCAGCACTTGCTCTGTCCACGTCAGAGCTGCTGGTCCAGCCTGTTCCTCCCGCCACTGCAGCCAGGTACAGCCACGGTGATGCCATCCCCAGCCTGGCACTGGGTGTACTGGGAATTTCAGGGCGTGCAATGAGTAATGTGGAAAGAGTGCGTAGTAGAGCGTGAGGAAGAGCTACATGTCCAGGCTTTGCTGCAGCTTGAGAGATGAGGGAACATGGATCAATTCGGCTCCAGCCTGGCAGAGTCTCTTGTGGTCAGCATAGCTGCAGGTGCCTTGTGCCTTATGAGCCTTGTGAGGGTCACCCTGCCCATGGGTGATGGTTCCCCAGGAATCCAGCAACTCCCCATGCCTGGCAGGCAGCCCACCACAGCCTCCAGGGCTGGGACTCAGCACCAGAGCCCCCTGGCACAGCCCACATGAGGCCAAACGCCTCCTGTGGAGGTGGGAGGTGGGACCTGACACCCACCTGAGTGGCAGCAGAGCTGGGACACGGTCCTCTTGCCCCCATCCTCGCACTCCAGCGGCACGATGCCCAACACACCTACAGAAGAGGGCACAGGAGCAGGTCACCACCAGCCACCCACCAGCCTGACCTTTTCCTATGGGATGCTCCCAGGAATCCCCCAGCCTGGGATACATTGAGGGGCACCCAGCTTTGAAATGCAAGCCAAGAGGTGTGGGACTTACAGCACTTTTGAAGATCTCAGGGAAAGCCTCCTCCCCTCACCCTCGTGTCTCTGGTGTCCGTGGGGCTGACCCCCCACCCAGCCCCACAGGGACAACTGGGACAAATCCATCCCACCCCACGAGCTGTGCAGGGGACCCCCTGTGCCTCACCTGCTGCCTCAGCATTGAATGCAATCCAGTAGCAGCTGGACTTCACATGGTTCCCACAGGATGCGATGGAGCCTGCTCGGATACCCCCAATCCATGCCTAGGATGGAGAGGGAAAACTCATGTCAGGAGTTGCCTCTGTTATGGTGGGGCCTGATGCCATGGCCAGAGCACGGCTGGAGGGGAGACATTGGCACTGCATGGCTAGAGACCCTCAGCCCCAGTGGAGCTCCCATGCCGATGGAGACCTGGAGGCTGCCAATACCAACAGGATTGTGCCAGAGGCACATTTGTAGGGTCCTACTCTGTGGGATGGCCAGGGCAATGTGGCTGCTCCTGCTCCCAACATGAGGTACAGTCCCTCGCTGGGGTTGGAGGATGGCAGGCAGGAGCATCCTGGCTCCCAGCACTGCCTCTCCCCAGAACTGTCCCAGCCCTGGGCTCTGCCACTGAGGGAAGGGCTCAGAGGACTTTGTGATAAAAACTGAGGTCAGGGAGTCTGGGATGGGACAAAAGTTGTTGGTCTGTGAAGCACCACAGGGTCAGGCTGTGGCTGACCGAGGCAGCAAGCTTCCCACATGGACATGCAGCCAAGGAACTTCATGACAGCTCCAAATCCAAAATCCCACTGTGCAGCAGTGGGAAACATCCCACTACTCCTCCACAGTTGAGCACTGTACCCGTGGGGCACTGAGACACCCTGCATCAGCCAGACCTGCTCAGATATCTGACCTCAAGTGGCCACCAGGAGCTTCCTGGCACACCCAGAGCCAAGTCCAACCCTTGAGCAATGGCAATGGCAGGTGTTTCATGGGTGCCACCATGACTGTGTGCCCATGGCAGCCACTGGCATCACGGAGAGCTGCAGCAGGTGTCTGGAGCAGTGGACACCCCACAAAACCAGGCAGACACCCTCGAAGGGGAGGGAGCTGCGTTCATGAGCCCCGGGTTTCCTCTCCTTGCACAGCTTCCTTTTGAGGCCTGACAGGGAGCAGCGGTTCCTGCAGCACTTCCTCCAGCCCTCACAGCTTGGTACAGACCTCTTAACCCCTTACCTGCCAAAGGGAGGTTCCTCTGCCTGCACCTGGTGGGTGGGCAGGGGGCTGCAGTAGGGATGGGGAACAGGTCTGGAGCATGAGCAAGACCCAGGAGGAAGGGTCCTACAAACTGCATCCCATCACTCTGCACTGGTCCCTCGAGGGGGGACACCAGCCACCTCTGGTCCCCAGCTTCCAGGGGTCCCACACAGGACCCCTGCGCTGAGGTTTCGCAGAGGGACCACTGAGCTGGTCCATCCTGGCCCCACAACTTCCCTGTGCACAGGCAGGAGCCCTCAAGGAAGTGATCCTTTCCTCAGCGTGCCAGCACGGCCAGGAAAGCATATGGAACCATCCTGGCTACTTCCCTAGAACAAACTGTGAGCTCTCAGGGGGCATTTGCCAGCAGGGCCTTGCAGACGCTGCCTGAAGAGACTCAGATGTGATCCCTCCTGTTTACACTGCGCTTCCTGATCCGGCCAGGTCAGGTGTCTGCCTGAGCCTCCACAAACAACCCGCTCAGCCAGGGACCCAACAGTGTTTCCCGCCGTGACACCTGAGATGGGTTTTGAGACGAGACATTCACCTCCCACCTCCTGCCCTGCAGAGCTGGGTGGTGTGGCCTTGATTCCCAGGGATATGTTTCATGCTGGGTGGCCTTTTGGAAAGGCCACCTTGCACAGTGGATGCCTCCTTGCACACAGGGGCAAGAGCCCACTGTCCCTCAGAACAACCCCACCGTGGGCACTGACCCCAGGGCAGTGGTGACAGGGACGTCCTTGCCTGGAGGATGCTGTATCCACACAGCCAAGTGTCCCAGCACCCACACCCCCCAGGCACACACGCTCTGCCCTGCCAGGGGCTCATCTGAACCCTGAAGGTCGCAAACATTTGTCCAGCTGAGATTTTGATGACATGGCACCTGTCCTGCAGACACACAAACACTGGCATGCCATGGGGAGGGGGGGATGTTCAAGGCTGGGACAGTGGCAGGGGCCACTATGTCTCCTCCTACAGCTGAAGCTCAGAAGGATGTTTTGGGTGCTTACTAGGTCTGCAGAGTTGTGTGAGCAGAGGTACAAGGATGGCTTGGGAAGTTACAGGGAAGGAGTGCACTGACATCCAAGGGGGTTGGGAGCAGCACCAGCCTCACTAATGGTCATGGTGCTGAGGAGATGCTGGGAGTTCCCAGCTTGGGAAGCCCACAGAAGGGCTGTGTCCTGATAACGGTCCCCAACGAAGCTCACCTGGCACAACCCACCCCCGACCCCACATCTCTGCCAAACCTGCAGGGACAGGGATCCAAGGGAACGCCCTGGCCAAGCTCCACAGCCTTGTGGAGAGCACGGCAGGATTACCTACTGCCAACACCACGCGAAGAGGTGGATCATGACACTTGGCACGATTGGGGCTGGTTATTCATGGGGCTGAGACTGGAGCTGGGCACCACTTGTTGCCCAGCAAGACCCCCTGGATCTGCCTGGCCTCAGCAGTGCTGAGCTGTGCAGCTCACGGGCAGGGTGAGGGAGCTCAGCACCATCCCGTGGGGCCCAGCGCTTCCTCTTTGCCTGCGGAAGTGGGGCAGCAGGAGCGGGGTGGCAGGAGCGGGGTGGCAGGAGCGGGGCCCAGCATTTCACGCTCAGGATGCATGGCTCCCGGCTGGGTAAGCCCACGCTGCCCGAGAGGGCCGAGCGAGCACAGGTGAAGCACCGAGCCGAGCTGGGGTGGCGGGCAGCAGGAACCGGGGATGAACTGCCTGTGGCCACCCGTGTCCAGCGGCAGGAGGGTGCAGCACCACGGAACGGGTACCCCACGCCAGCAGCTCCCGGCCGGGGGGGCTGCACCGCCCCGGGACAGAGCTGGGGCTCCCCACCAGACCCACCTGCGGAGCGCCCCGGGGCCGGGAGCCTCCGGCGCCAAGGTGTGCCAAGGAAAGGCCACCCGGGCGACGCACTCTGAGCGCGGCCGGGGGACCCGGGCACGGCCCTGCCGCACCGGCGGTGCCGCAGCCGCGGGAGCTTGAGCCGCGCCCTGCCGGTACCGCGGGGCCGGTCCTGCCCTGTCCCTGTCCCTGTCCGTGCCCGTGCCCGCCGGCAGCCCCGGCCCCGCCGCCCCCGCCCGCACGGTACCGGCCGGTCCTACGGCGCTCACCTCCCTGCGGGGCAGCCGGGCCTCGGTGTGCCGGAACTTGGACGCCTTGAAGCGGTTCATGGCGCTCCGGTCGCGCCGCACCGAGCCGTGCCCAGCCCAACCCGGCTAAGCTAAGCCCGGCCCAGCCCAGCCCAGCCCAGCCCGGCCCCGCAGCTCCGCCCGCCCCGGGGCTGCCGCCGGTCCCGCCCTCTGGGTCCCGACACGCCCCCGACACGCCCCCTCAGGAACCCCGCCCCACGCGTGTCCCGTGTCCCCGCTGTCACCGTGAGCGGGGCACAGACCCCCACCCCCGACCCCCCGGGACCCCCATCAGAGCCTCCAGCCCCGGCGTCGGAGTCACTCCGGGGGTGACTGTCCCGAGGGGTCGCCAGCCCCTTCCCTGTCTCCCGCAGAGGGTCGGGGTCACCGGCCCCAGGGGCACCCCGGGTTGTGATCCCCGGCTGTCACCCAGCTCTCCTGCCAGACAAGGGCAGACGTTCCTTCGGGCTCTGGGCAGGGAGGATGAGAGGAGTGGGAAGTTTCCAGTCCCGTGGGCACAGCGTCCTCATCCCCTACGGCCTCGCAGCCGGCAGAGAACAGAGACCTTTGTGTGCACACACAGCTGCCGGGGGGGGGAGAAGAAGGAGCTCTGGATCTGAGCCTGCTGAGCCTTCTGGGCCCGGCTGTGCCATCACCCATGCTTGGGGTCTCACCCATGCTTGGGGTCTCACCCATGCTTGGGGTCTCACCCGGGTCTCACCCATGCTTGGTAGAGCCTGGGTGTCACCCATGCCCGGTGGAGCCCAGGCCTCTTTCCCTGCTTTCACTCGGGCTGTGAAACGCCAGCAGGAGCCGGCAGCATCTGACACATCCCCCTCGCTGCTCAGCCCCGCTGCTGCGGCCTCCCACGCGCCGCAGGGCCGAACCTCCGCTGAGGAGCGTTCCGAGGCGCCTGGTGACGGAGGTGGGAGAGAGACGCGCTTGGCACGAATTATCCTCCTCCCTAGAGAAAAGCTGCTGCCTCAGTGTGGGCGGTGTGTCAGGACAGGCGGTGTGTCAGGGTGCTGTGTCAGTGTGGGTGCTGTGCCAGGGTGCTGTGCCAGCATGGTGTGTCAGGGTGGTTGCTGTGTCAGAGTGCTGTGTCTGGGTGCTGTGTTATGGTGGGTGCTGTGTTATGGTGGGTGCTGTGTCAGGGCAGTGTGTCAGTTTGTACACTCGCCTTGCCTGCAGTGTCACCTGCTGTGTCAGGGCAGTGTGTCAGTTTGCACACCCACATTGCCTGCCTGGCCACTGTGCAAGTGCTGTGTGTGGGCGCTGTGTCGGGGTGCTGTGTTATGGTGGGTGCTGCGTTTATGGTGGGTGCCCTGTCAGGGTGCTGTGTCGGGGTGCTGTGTTATGGTGGGTGCTGTGTCAGGGTGGGCACCGTGTCACTGCAGTCGCTGCGGTTTCAGAGCCTTTTTTCCCGACCTATGACAATATTTCCCCTGCTGGGGGACGAGAGCAGCCCTGGAAGGGCGCAGACCCCTGCCCCAGAGCACCGGGCAGGGTTTCCCAGCCCTGGCTGCCCGAGCGTGTTGCAGGGGGTGCGGCATGGCCGGGCACGGTGGTGCCTGGCAGTTCCCGGCTCACAGGGCCGAACTGCCCCGGCCCCGGCCCCGCCGGGGGCTCTGAGGGTCTCGTAGGGGGCTCTGAGGGACCCGGGGCTCTGAAGATCCCCCGGCGGCTCAGACAGTGCCCTCACGCTCCGACCCCGCCGCCTCTGCCGAGCCCCGCGCATGCGCAGCCATAGCGCCGCCACAGGCGCGGCGCTGCCGCGCACGCGCGGTCCCTCCCTGCCGCGGCCGTGCGCAGGCGCCGCGCGTGGGCCAAGATGGCGGCCGTGAGCGCGTCGCGGTGGGTCGGGGCGGCCGCGGGGCGCGGGGCGGGGAACGCGCGGCCGCCGCTGCTGCTGCTGCTCCGCGGGCTCCGCGTCCCGCCCGCCCGCGCCCCGCGCCGCCTCCTGCTGCTCCGAGCTGGGCTCTGCGCCGCGGGTGAGCGGGGCGGCAGGACAGGGACGGGGGGCGGCGGCGGGGCGCGGGTCCTTCTCCCGGCCGTGTCCCTCCTCTTGCCCGGCCCGGCCCTCACCGCGGCCCCTCTGTCTCCCCTCCCGCAGGGACGAAACGTGCTGCCGCCGCCGCCGCCTTCCACAGCAGCGGGGCCCGCACCAAGGAGGACTATTACCAGGTGCTGGGGGTGCCCCGCACCGCCACCCAGAAGGAGATCAAGAAGGCCTATTACCAGGTGCGTCCGGCCGGGGCTGCGCGGGGACAGGGACAGAACTGCCTCGCTGCCTGTCCGGTGTGGCAGAGAGCAAATCCTCCCTTGAGATCCCCGCTGGAGACAAGGGGAGGGAGCAGTGGAGCAGCTCAGCACATGGCACTGGGGATCTCTTCCAAAGTGTAGTCTGCCTGTGGTGTCACCTCATGTCTCCTTCCAGAAAGATCTAGGCTTGCTGGGAGGATCAGGAGCAGCTCCTGTGGTTCCTTATATTGGGTTGATAATGGAAAATGAAGGGATTTAGTTCCCTGAAATAGAGATAGTGTATGCCGAGCTCTGCCCAATGTGTTTTTCCTGGCATGTGAGATACACTGAAGTAAATAACTCCTTGCTTGTCTCTAATGGTTTGTTTTTGTTGTTTAGTTGGCAAAGAAATACCACCCTGACACAAACAAGGATGACCCCAAAGCGAAGGAGAAGTTCTCTCAGCTGGCAGAAGCCTATGAGGTAACAGCAGGATTTCATCGTGATGAAGAGGAGGAAAGGCTGGAGGGTAGATGAGGGGAAACATTTCCTGTAAAACCGTGGCTGTTTTTTGATGCAGTTCAGGCTGGAGCACCTCTGTCCCAACGGTGTCTCCAGGAAATTACTTGGCCCAAGTATCTGATTTAGGTGCTTTGGGCTCTTTCAGTTTGTGCTCTTCCTTAGGGGTAAGTCACTGGCATGGATGCAGCAGTCACTTCCATGGGATCGTTGTCAGCTTAAAATAAATAATCAAATAAAAAACCTGTCAGTAGGTGTTTGAGACAGAGGAACCTTCACTGTGCTTCCCCAGCCCTGTTTTTTTTTAACCCCAGCACTGTTACCAGCTTTCACCTGATATATTAATGACTGATTACGTAATAAGCAAGTTATTCTTACTTATTATAAATCAGTAAGATTGTCATTTTCCTGATTTTGAGCCAAGAGAGGAAGAAGCAGCTTGTGGTGCTGAGAGCTCAGCGAGCCCTCCCGATGGCAGGAGAGTCTGATAAGCCTGGGCTCGTGGGGGCAGTGCCAGAGCCAGGGATTCTCCAGGGCACTGGGGATCCGTACCATGCCCAGATGGCCCTGTTCTGTCCCCCCCAGGTGCTGAGTGACGAGGTGAAGCGGAAGCAGTACGATGCCTACGGCACGGCGAGCTTCGAGGCCGGCGCTGCCGGGGCCGGCGCCGGCACGGGGCGGCAGTACTGGAGCGGCGGCCCCTCCATTGATCCCGAGGAGCTTTTCCGGAAGATCTTTGGGGAGTTTTCGGGATCTCCTTTCGGCGATTTTCAGAGTGTCTTTGACCAGCCACAGGAGGTAGGAGGTGCCTTTGTTTAGAAGTGGAATTAAAAACTCAGAAGCTGGGGAGGGATGCACTGGTCTGTCACAGAGCACTCTGGGAGCAAGAGCTTCAGCAGAGAGTTATTTCTGGGAATGTCAGTCTGTGAGTATCCCATGGCATGGGGTGTGGTGGAGAGTCAAATTTTTGATAAGCTGCATCTCCAGACAGAGTTGTTTTTTCTGGACTTGAGCTACTTCCTCTGGTGTTTACTGACACCAGTCGGTGCTGCCCAACAGTTCCATCGCTGTAGAGGCATCTTTGCTGCTGTGGGTTGATTTGCATATGCCTGCTGTGATCTGTAATGCTAAAACCCACAAAACACCTTGTAACTGTAAACCAGGCCTTCCGGCGATAGGTTTGGCTGCTTAATTGGTTTAATTTTGCAACTTAATTAGTTTAACTTTGCAGTGGAGCCCATAACAGAACGTGTCTTGTTCTCTGTGCTGCAGCTGAATGCTCCTTTAAGTGTCGTCATTTCACGTGCTGTCTTCAAATACCAAGTGTTTCTGGTACTTCTGGCTTTACTAAAAGTGACTTTTTTACTATAAAGAGAATGTCCTCTTATGTGCAGTCATCTTTGCTGATGACTTCACTTGGCAAAGAAAAAGTTAATTGGGGAAGAGCAGCCACTGCCATTGGGATGGAAACCCTTCAGCCTCACTTGTTGCTGCATTCCCATGAAACAAAACCTTTAGAAACAAAAAAAGGGTTTTCCTGAGAGCAGGAAAACACTCGACTTCTATTTTTACTTCTTTCTTTTCTGTTTTTAAATCTTGTTGCTGCTACACAGCATTTTCTTAAAAATTCTCATTGCTGCCACACAACCTGATGCTTATCAGCCTGGGGTAACCATCATTCCTATAATGTCTGTGATCCTTTTGCACCCCTTTTTATTTATTTGAGATAGATTATTGATTCTTCAGATTAGATGCACAGTCATTCAGAAGGGTTTGCCTATCTGTTTCTTCCTCCCGCTCTATTACCTGGATCTGTTTTCAGCATTGCTTGGTATTTGGCCTAAACCAATCTGTTTAAGACCCTATCACACATCAGTCACAGATCAATATCCATGTTTCCTATGCAGTATATCATGGAACTGACATTCACCCAAGCTGCAAAAGGTGTTAACAAGGAGATTGTGGTGAACATCCAAGACTCCTGTGAGCGGTGCAATGGCAAAGGGCACGAACCGGGCACCAAAGTGCAGCGCTGTCACTACTGCAACGGCACAGGCATGGTAAGTGCTTTGTAGGACACCAGTTCTGCTGTGCTTTTCCTTGTTGGGGCAGATCAGTTCAGTCCGTGGTGAAAAATTCTCACCCCGGTCAACAGCTGATCTCGGGTAAAGCCGAGTTAATGTCAGCTTGATGCTAATCGGCCCTAGGAGGATTGTCTTAGTGTTAAAGAAGTGCTGTGCTCAGCTGAAAGCACAGGCCTTCAGGATGGATTCTCTGCTATTGTACAAACCATATTCGTGCCACGTAACGGCTCTGAAATTCCTTGGACATTAAATGGGATCCTTTGACTTGGGGGTGGAGGAAGGTAATGATAGCCCCAGGGTAACCATGAAGTAAGGAGATGCAGGTAATGATGGAGCTGCCAGGCTTTGAGTTTCCATGCATCTGATTCCTCACGTGCTACGGTCTGGAGGGCTGCTCTCACAGTTCACTCCAGAGCTTAGTCTCCGTAACGTTTTCCTGGACACTGGCAGTAATTCATGCAAGTGGATTGTCCTTGGATTCCTCAGAACACAGATGTCTGTAGCACTGTAAGGAGCTTTGTTCCTTCTTGTGCGTTAAAGGCTGGAGATGGAAGGTGTTGTGTTTCCCTTCCCCTTGTTTGCAGTAGTGATGGTGTTCAGTGGAATTCGGAATGTGCTGGCAAGAGAACCTCATCCAGCTTCTCCCAAGCAGCATCCTCTTAGGATTTCAGAGCCAGCTTTCTGCTCCAGCCCTTGCTAAAGGATATTACTGTCCTTACAGGCTGTGTGTGCGCGATTAGAACTCCAACGTGCTGGGTGAAAAGTACCACCGTGGTGCTCAGTGCTTGTACAACCTGTTTCCCTCCCCAGGAGACGATAAACACGGGCCCCTTCGTGATGAGATCGACGTGCCGGCGCTGCGGCGGCCGGGGCTCCATCATAACCACGCCCTGCGTCGTGTGCCGGGGAACGGGGCAAACCAAGCAGAAGAAGACAGTGATGGTTCCTGTGCCAGCTGGTCAGTGTTGTACTCGTGTGCTGCTCTCTGTTAAATGAATGTAGTTATTTCCTGCCACTTGGCCAACAGGTACGAACGGGAGAGCAGCGAAAGGAGTTTTGCTGCAGAGAAGTTTGTCTTTCAAACAAAGCAGGTCAATGGAACGGGCTAATGATGAGATGAACCTTCTGGCCATGGATAGAAATGTTTGCTTTGCCCTTCCTGAGCTTTGGTTCTTGTCTGGATCCTCCTAGGCAGGCTTTGAAGAGTGAAACTCTCCAAAGGTTTTGTTACCATGGGTCTTCCATTTGTCCTTGATAAAGCGTGGGGAGAGGGTGGGAATCCTGAAAGCCTTGGCTTGGCTCAGAAGGGTGTGCTGATGGCCTTCCTCACCAGAGAGGATGAGAGTGGTGGGACTGAAGACTTCTTTGAGACCACCCTGGGTGAGCAGCCTGGAGTTTTCCTGCAGCTCGTGGAGGCTGCTGTGTTCTTTAATTTGATGTATTTCCCCAAAGAATTCTGTAGGGATTGAATCAATGAGCCTGCTTGGGGCACAGTGATCACCTCAGAGGTATAAATACCTTCTTCCTTGGGCCACAGCTCCTGTAGAGTGTCACTGTGATGCCTGCTGGGAGATCTTATGCCTTATGTGCTGCAGTGGTGGGCAGCTCTTGGGTTTGGCAGGGTTGTAGATACACATGTAACACATGGATTAACACATGGATTATAACCCAAGGTAACATTCCCTCTTGTTCCAATCGCAGGAGTTGAGGATGGGCAGACAGTTCGGATGCCTGTGGGGAAGAAGGAAATTTTCATTACGTTCAGGGTATGTATTGTAAGTTGTATGTGTGGAAGTTGTTTTTACCCTTCTCAACTGCCTGGGAAGTGGCTGCAGAATGGGCAGAGGAGGAAGAGTGAGTGATCCTTTGGAATATCTGATGTAACACGATCCATGTGAACTTTCTGAGACAGCAGGAGATTTGCATTGTAACAAGGGGGGTCACTTTGAATCTGCTCATGAAGAATCCAGCTGCTTGTTCCAGGACCAGGCCCTTAGGGTAGTATGAATAAAAATGCAGAGTAGGTTCTTCATGCCTCGAGTTTTTGACTTGGAAATGTGAAGGAGCTGCCTGCAGGCAGGGATGAGAGTGCTGAGGAGGGCTGTGGGAATGCCTGCAGCAGGCTGGCTGGTCGAGTGTCCTCCTGCAGATCCACCTTCAGGGCTGCTTTGCACCTGTGCTGTAGCTGGGCCTCTTCTCCTTGCAGAATCCTGTCACACACATCTCTGTCAAGGAGAAAATTTTTTTCAACACTTCTTTTGTGGTGCAGGAGGATTTAATTCTTTTCCAGCTTGTGAGACCACTGCAGAGGTGCTTCCCTCCCTCTTCCCTTCTGGCTTTCTCCTGTTCAGGATACGGGACAAGGCAGTGTCTGTCTCTGCAGAACCATATTGACACAGATAATTTAATAGCAGCATTAGGGGAGGGAGGTGCTGAGGCAGGAAGCAGGGATCCTCCTAAGCTTTTGGCTAATTATGGTTGTGTCAAGATCTGTGTTTTTCTAAAAGACCAAATATTAACTCATAGTTCTTAGATGAGCAGTTTGTGGATGGTATAAAGGGTCAGGCTGGTGTATTTTCTTCTGAGACCCTTCAGAGCAGTTTACCGGGAGAACTTCGTGGTGGTGTGCTCACTTCACCTTGGAACTTCCCTGCCTTTTAGGTTCAGAAAAGTTCTGTGTTCAGAAGGAATGGAGCAGATATCCATTCGGAGCTCCCGATCTCAGTAGCACAGGCTGTGCTGGGAGGCACAGCCCGATGTCAAGGCTTGTACGAGACAATCAACATCACAGTAAGTACCATTACATTGGGCATGAATTGATGGGGCAAAGGTGGGGAAAATCTCTGAAGTCTGCCAGCATCGTGTTTTAGATTCCTTCAGGATTGAGCCTCGGGTAGCTTGTGACCTGCTGTGTCACTGTGAAGGGGCAGGGAAAGGAAGGGATTGCTGGACAAATCCCATCCAAGGGCTACAGGCTGTGCCAGGTTCTTTACTCATTCCTTCAAAAGCTTTTCCATCATTACTGACACAGCTTCAGCATGTGTCCTGGGTGTACCAGAGCTCTCCCATCCTACTTTGAAGCTTGCTGGTGAAGTAGATAATTTTTATAGACACCTAGAGTAATAAATGTGATATCTGTGTTCATAGATACCCCCTGGTATTCAGCCAGACCAGAGAATTCGAATGAGTGGGAAAGGCATTCCCAAGGTCAACAGTTATGGCTACGGAGACCACTACATCCACATAAAGATAAAAGTCCCTCAGTAAGTACAGCTAAAGCAAGTTTCTGCAAAATCTTAAACTTCTTGCAAAAAGACATTCAGAATTTGTGAAAATTTTTATTCCTTATGGCTCTTCTCAAGCACTTCAAGATATTTTGTGATTTTCACTGCAGTGGAGTGAAATGCAGTGGATCCTGTCTCTCCTCTTCCACTGTGTGGTTATTATTTATAGATGGCTCAGTGCAGGGATTCCTGGTGTATTCCAGGTGTGTTCACCTTGTAATTCCAGCACCTGCCTCTCGTGGGTGCTGCTGGAGAGGTTTCAGGAGGGCTGTAGGTAGAGCTGGCCCCGAGGACAGCCCTAACCATGCCCTGTGTTGGGCCCACAGGAGGCTGACGGATCGCCAGCGAGCCTTAATGATGAGCTACGCGGAGGACGAGACGGACGTGGATGGCACAGTGAACGGGGTCACAAACACAACGTCAGGTGAGCGGGGGGAACTCCTGCTCCTTCCTCCTGGAGCTGGTGTGGGGGTGCAGAGCGCTTCCTGAGGGTTCCTGGGGAGGAAGGTGAGCCAGGGTCACCTGGAGGTGGTGTGGCAGCACTGCCTGCCGAGCGTGGTATTTTGGATATGGTTGTAGTGTGGTGTTAACAGGCTGTAGCACAAAGCAGGGAGGCAGCCTCTTCCCAGGAAGCTTTGCTCCAGTACTTGTCAAATCTGTGTGTGAACAGAGGGCAGGGACTGAGGTACTCAGGGTCCTGACAAGCTGTGGTGATGAATGCCTCCTGCTCCCTGGCTCCCTGTGCCAGGACTCTTCTTAGAGGGGTAGGAAAAGACAAGATCCTTCAGGCCAGTTTTCCATGCGAGTCCATCTGCTGTGCTTCTGACTCTGCAGCAGGATGTTTCTCCTGGAATGCTGCTGGGAAGTTCTGCTGTCAGGCTGTGCCTTGGGCACGTGGGGGAACCTGGGGTAGGAGTGTCCATTGGTGCAGAGTGTTGGCTCTGTCAGTAGACAGTGTCCACCGTGATGGAGGAGCAGAGTCAGCTGGGAGCATTGTGAAGCTGTTCTTCCAACTGCAGATGGAGAACAGATTCAGCAATTGTTTTAAGTTTCTGGGGTGAGGTACCTGGCAAAGACAGCAGCTAAAGGCAAAACACATGGTGAAATAATAAGGAAGGAGCTTTGTCTTTCAGTACTGGAAAACAGTTTTTCCTTGCTTAATTGGAACAATGAACTTTTTAAAGCCATTTGGATTCCTTTATTGGCTTGAAAGCAAACAGAGCATTTAAGACTAGGCAAAGGTAGGAGCCTTTTCAGAGCTGCTCAGCGATCCCAGGAACTCAGGTCTGCTGTACTACATGCCAAAGGCTCAGGAATATAGACTCAGGAATATGGGATACTGGAAGGCAGCATCTGCCAAATATTTCCCAGTGTTCTGTTTTATAGTGCTTTCCTAGTATAGAAGTTATGTCTTTCCCATGTTACAGTCACCCATGGGGGGAAGGGGAGAGCGCTCTGAGCACTGAACTTCCATTCCAGCTTTTTAAAGGCATTTGTGTGTCAAAGGGAAAAAATCACTCTCCAAACTAATTTTTTTAAAAAGCAAACTTTCCAGTTTTCACCACGATGAAGCAGCCAGGTGGATTAAAACAACCCCCAGTAGGTTGCAGTGTAGAGACAGGCTGTTGCTGAAGGTGTGTCCTTGCTCCAGGCAGCAGCAGTGCAATGCCCCGGGTGTTCAGAGGCGTGTCCTGCCTCGGGATTTCATTCCATTGCATCAGTCTGAGCCCGGCACTCAGCCCTGGGAGGATGGGGAATGCTGGACTTCGTGTTCTCTGTGTGCAGAAAAAGCTTTAGGAGGATTTTGGGGTCTTGTTATTGATGGATTTACTGTAGAAAAAGCAGATTAGCAAAGAGATCTCCTTTGTTCTTGCTGTAGCCGCTTCTGGAGGGACAAACAACTTTTCAGGACCTCTATATACAGGACAATTATAAGATTCCTTATCTGGACACTTGGTCTGAAATACTTGGTAGTCTTTTTAATTCTACTTCGAGTTCATTTTCTCCTTGATACTGTTTGTCTGAGCACTGCTTGCAATGACACAAATCAGGCTCCTGGTATGGTTTTGCACTGCTTTGCAAGGACACAACCTTGAAACAGGACGAGCTTGTTCCACAGACCACCAGGACAGCTTTTTTAACCCTGTAAAGCCCTGGCTGGCTGTGATCACTTTTTAGTGGCAGACTCTCAATTCTAAGTGCTTGCTTCCAAAGCCTGTGGGGACTTCCCTCATCAGCTGGAGGGCTGGGGAGAGGGGAAGGGAATGGTGGAATCTGAGCCCATGGTTGGCTTTTCTGGGATCTCTCCAGTGCCAAGTGGTTGTGGGTATCTTACTGCCATGTGAGGATGCAGCACAACCAGCTGCCTTTGCTTGACCATTCCCTGTCTAAAATAACCCTCTGGTACTGGTGGGAGATGTCTCTGACTGCGGCCCTTTGCTGTTTGTGTCCAGGTGGCAGGGCCAAGGCTAGCGCTGCTACAGGCGGGGATAGGCCTGAGGCTGAGGAGAACAAGGAGGGATTCCTTTCCAAACTTAAGAAAATGTTTACCTCCTGACACCCCATCTGAGGTAGGAGGCCTGTTGTGTTTCACTGTTGTCTTTCCCCCACACTGAGCACTTCTTGGGAGCACAAAAAGGTTGCTTCTCACTTAGCCTCAGGCCTTCCAGCCGCGGGTGTGCAAAACCCTAGCTGTGCCCTGGGACCTGGAGCAACAAGCCAGGGATTAAACTGCATTGTTGCTGCAGCCAAAAGCTGCACAGATGCTGGGTGCATCCTTGGGGAGGTGGCTGGGCCTCCCCTGCAGCTCTGCTCCCGTGTCCACCCAGTAGTTGTGCCTGGTTCCGAGGAGCACAGAGGTGGTTCCCGTTAGCTGGTCCCACTGAGACCGGGTTCTGCCACGCAAAGCCCAGCCCTGCCAGAGGCACAGGGTGCCAGCACACTGGGGTGGACTCGCCCCTGCCACGGGCTTACAGCACCAGGGAGGAGTCAGCCTTTGTCACAGAGCACAGCAAAGCCTTGCCACACACCAGACCAGAGTATAATTCATGTGCCTTCAGTGAGTGTGGCTGCTCTGAGGGAGCACTGGGACTTAGAATCATCTACAGCAGACATGGTGTCTTGGATTCCAGGGGCTCAGCTTTGCGTCTTTGTAGGCTTCAAAGCTGTCTGTTTGGCGTGGCTGACGGTGTGACGGCAGGTTGGGAGGGGAGGTGCTCCTGAAGTGGGCTGTGTGCCAACTCAGCCAGGAAATCTAAACTTTCCTCTCATTTCAACCGCAGGGAAACGTTCTACTGGGAACTAGGAGCCAGCAGCAGCAGGTCATCTGTGCAGTTGGGGGTGAATCTTTCTGGCAGCAGGCTCTGGAGAGCACAGGATGTCAGTTGGCAGCACAGCAAGAATCTCAGCTGGAGAGGCCACAGACCACCGAGGCACCAACACCCATCGTGATACAACCCCCCCACCACCATCCAAGGAACTGGCAGTGAAGGAAAATGCCAGCTTTGCAGAGATGGGGCTCTCTGGAGGCTGCTCCACAGCCCTACTGCTGCTGGAAGCTTATTGGGTAAAAATTAAAGTTGAAGTATTATTTAGAATCCAAACCAGAAGAAATGTGAAATGTGAAATAAACTGTCCTTCCAGCACAGAGCAGAGCAGTTAGGGTGGAGTTAGGGTGCTCTATGGAGCCCAAGTCTCCACCTGCTGCTCACTCAGGTGCCCTTTGCAATGCCAGGTGTGCTTGGTGAACTCACCACTGCTCACCTTCTCCCAGGAGACCTGGTGGGTCAGGGAGGTTTAACCCTGTCTTCACGACAGCCCTGCTGCCCTGCACAGCTCCGAGTGGAATCTCCCTGGGCCTTGTCCAAGCCCACGTGCCCTGGCTCCTTCACAGCCGGGGGCTTTCTCAGCCCTGCTGATTGCCTGCACAGAGCAGTGGTGGCATCTGCACTTTGCCTCAGGTTTAACCCCCAAAAAACTGAAGTTACCACACAACTGCTGTCGCTTCTGAACGGGTACAAGTTGATCACAAGCCCTTTGCCAGTTGGGGACAAAATCTTTTTATTACCTTAGTGCAACACCCGTAGCATAAAGGATTGGTCAGAGCATCGTTGTTTTACATGTGTGAGAGTGCAAGTGAGGTGGATCACTCCTTCCAGGTGCAGCTGAGCTCTTGCAGTGAGTATCCCATGGTTACTGTGTTAGTGATACCATGCAGGTACCATCAGCCCACGTACTAATAACCAGTTAAACAGGGACATGTTGTAGTCTTGCCCTTCTTAATTTGCTGAAATAAAGCACGCGTTGCCTCCTGATTAAACTGTCTGTAAAGTGATTCTGTATCCATGTAAATAAGATGGACTTCATAAAGATATTTAACATGTGCTGTGCCTTGCTGCCTCGTCTACTCTTCCACCTGGTCTGTCACCTGCCTTCCCTGCCCCAGTAATAGGAATGAAGGTCTCTGGGACAAAGAGGGACAGGGGTTGGGTGGCTTGAGCATCTCTTGGGGCTGGGATTGATTTTAAGCACAGGAAAAGCTGCCAAATCCAAGCAGTACCTTAAGCATATAAGGGTGAGGGGGAAGGGGCTTTTCTACTGAGTCTTGGACAGTCTTGAAAGACTTCAGTTTTACTCATGGGAACAGCGACTGAAATTAGCTCCATGATCCTAAAGTGATGGAAATTACCTCCAGGAGCCCAAGGGTCAGGCCCAGAGCTGTATGACTTGAGGAATCAGGCTCAGCTTTTGTGTTACATGCATAGGAATTGACTGCACAGTCCCTGGTTGCAGGGCTCTGTCTCTCTGCTGGTTCACCTGCAGTGCCTGAATCAGGTCCATGGAGAAATCATTATGTTTTCAGCTTGCTTAGGAGCCTGCAGCAACACTGGCCATGGGTACCTGCTGTGAACCTGTCCTAGGGTACCTGCCTTGGGGCCCAGGGATACACACCTTCAGCCCACCAAGTGCTGCCCTATGCTCAGAGCTGCCTGGGAAAGGGCATGATCCTGTGAAAATGAGCCACCACCAGCCTAAAAACACCCAGCATGACTAAAGAAACACCTCCCTGAGGACAGTGTGCAAAGGTAGCACTTCTCCCACCCGTCTACCTGTGCTGTGCGGCCCTTCCTCCTGTTCTGGTTGCCTAAACAGTCTCAACCAAGCTGCAGGAGCACACGCATGGACCAGCACATGGACCAAGCTCTCCCCAGCTGGGGCAGGATCAGCCTCTCCCTGGGGCACTACTGGGAAGGCAGCGGTGCTCAGGGCACCTCAGCCAGTTTCCCCTACCTGGCACAGAAGCTGAGGAGGAAGAGCAGGGAGGGGAAGGCTCAGAAGGCAGCCTTGTTGTCTGCCACCCACTGCTGGAAGGTGCGGGCCTTGGGGTTGAGCTTCATGGTCAGGGCCACATTTCGGTCGGGCTTCAGGGCATAGAAACGGAACATGGCAGCCAACTCCTTGGCCCCGGGGAAGTCACGCTTCTCGTACTCCTCTGGGGAGATCTGCCAAGAGAATTGTGGAAAAAGCTCTTTCATAGCCTGCTGGGGCTTTCCCTCAGCCCCTGTGGGGAAGCTGAGGGCTCAGTTAGAGCAGCCTGTCACAGCATTGCCACCGGTGAGGAGGGTTCTGCAAGGCACTTCTGCTGGGGTTGAGCAAAGGAAGCAGCCCTGCCTGGCAGGGAACAGCCCTCCCAGCCTAGAGCCAGCACCCAGCTCTGGCACACAGCTGGCCTGGGCATGGAACTGACTCTTCCCTGAGGCAGAAGCCTGGAGCAACTACAAGGGAACCCTTACCTGAACCAGGGCACAAGCTGTGGCTAAGGATGTCTTAGTTTAACAAGATTACAACTCAGAAATTAAGAAATTTCAGGTGGAAGTGTGGAAAAGGAAAAAAAAATCTGAATAAACAACAAATGGTGCAATCAAAAACTTTCAGAAGAAACAAAGTCCCAGTTCCCCAGGTGGAGGGGGAGAAACCAGTGGCAACCTGGGCATGGCTGTGCTTCTTTGTCCCTGGGTGAGGGGGCAGAGCCTGCAGAGAGCATCAGAGGTGCTTTGTTTCTGCTGAAATGCACTTGGTTCTCAAAGCAGAGAGCCACCACACCCCTTGTCCATTGTACTGGCTGCCTGAGGCACAGCCCAAATGCAAACAAACAGTGAAAAGAAGTTATGCAGGGGCAGGGAATGGCCAGAAGTGCTGTAAGGGTGACACAGCACTTGAGCTAGGAGTGTTGTATCGGTGACACAGCAAGGCCCTGGGGGAAGCTGTGCTGAAGGGAAGGGCATGTAGCAGAGACCTGTTCTATAGGTGCCCATCCCTGGTTCCTCTGGAGACCTCCAGCTTCAGTTATCCCTTGGAGCCAGGCACGGGCCTGCCTGGGCACACCTGTGTGCTCCACGAGCATGAGTTGTCCCAGTGACAATGCCAACAGGGCAGTTTCGGTGCCAGGCTGTGCTCCAGCTGCATGCAGGGGCAGCAGGATTAACCCCGGGCACCAGTGCTGGGCTGTACCAAGCCCATCCACTGAGCTGTGAGTCCTACCTTGCTGGCTGCCACAGTCTTGCCCGTCTGCTGGGAGAGGACGGCGGCGTACTCTGCCTCGGTGAGCTTGCCGGTGCTGAGCCCCATCACTTGGCCGATGTACTCCCCCGGGGACTTCAGCAGGGAAACCACAACAGGCCCAACGTCCTCCACGGCCATCCCGTCCATCGGGGTGTCCCCCGTGGGCAGCTCTGTATGGAGAGATTGATCCCAGCTGCAGTGCAGCCCAGCTCTGAGGAGGTACAGCCGGAGTTTTCCGCACTCAGCCTCTGAACACAGGGTGAGGAAGGGATGAGAGCACCCATCAGTATGGTAAGGACTGAGCTATGAGGCCGTGACAGCCAGAGCAGCACCGTGACTCACCTGGATCTGCAGCCTCCCCACCTCCACCATCCCAAATGCAGGCACTTGGGGTGTCCAGAGCCACCGCAGGATCTGCAGAGCAGCCCTTGGCACCACAAACAGGCCCAGGATGTCACTGATTTCTTGCAGGCCACCAAACAGGTCTGAAGGACCATAATGCAGCAGCAACTTGCTGTGGTCAAGCCTCTTTACCCCATCAGCCCACAGCCCTGGTGGTTCCTCCACCCCTCAGCCCCTGCATAGTGGGAGCAGACGAGAACACTGTCACAGGACAGTGACCCACAGCTCCTGCTTACCCAGGACAAAGGTGTCTCCCTGAGGGGCCTTCTGTGGCTTGAAGATGGAGAGGAAGTTCTCAAAGTAGAATGCCAGCCGGACTGACGTCATGGGAACCTGAATTTCGTGGAAATACTCCTCCACCTCCCCTTTGCCATCAAAGTGCAGCACCTCCAGCTGGCCCCCTGTCAGCTTGTGCACGTTCTCCAGGCCACTGAACACAACGTGCTGCAGCCCAAGGCGCTTCGAGAGGTCGGCCACTCGCTTTCCCTGAGCAAAGGAAGAAGGTGGCCATTAAGAGGGGAACAGGACATTTGGGGGGGCTCTCATCATCCTCACACCCCCCTTCCCCTTTGCAGCGCTGGGCAGAAGGGCAGGATCCAACTCACACCAGCTGAGCACCTTGAGCCCTCAGATGGGACCTGGGCTCAGCACACCAATGAACCCAGTGAGTTATCCAGGTGGAGCTGAGTCCTCTCCTTACACCATCCCACTTCAGAAAGACCACACATCCTCCACCTTTGGTGCTCACTGCTCCACCAAGCACACAAATACCAACCCAAAATATCTGCCTGGCCAACATACCTGCCCCAACATATCTTATCTTGCCATCTAGGTGTGGCAATCCTGCCATCCTGGGAAAACTGTCCTGAGGTGAGCACTGCCCTTGGGATCTCTGATACTACAAGATTTTGGCCCCAAAGCTGCAAGCGCAGAGAACTACAGGACTGCAGACAGCAACAGACCCAGATCTGCCCGAGGCAGGCTCTGAGGAGCCAAGTGTTCACACTCCTGCTAGTCCAACTCCTGGGCAGTGCTTTCTGCCACATATTTAACAACTCCCTGAAGACACCACATCTTGCAGCCAAGTGATTGCGAGGGAACAGGGAACAAGTTCTGGCTTTGTGAGAACTGGAACCTGGTGTTCGTGAGGCCTCAGGGCTCTCCTGGACTCAAACCATCGGGGCTGCCATGGCTACTCCAAGAGCTGTCCCATGCTCCCTACCCCGATGCCACACGGCTGTCCCTCGATCCCCGCTCCCCGACCATTCCACGTGTGGTCCCAGTTAATGCCAGCACAGGTACCTGCTCGATTTCCTTCTCTTTGCTGCAGTGCTCCCAGAAGTTGGTGACAACGAAGGCTCCGTAGGCACCCGCCAAGGCCTGTTCCAGCGATGGCTCATCGTCCTGATCCGCCTTCACCACCTCGGCTCCCCTCCGCTTCAGCTCCTCCGCCGCCTTCTTCCTGGGGCTCCGCGTCACCGCCCGCACCCTGAAGGTCCCATCGTCCAGCAGCGCCCGGGCCACGCTGCCACCCTGCGCCCCTGCGGGTGCAGCCGGTCAGGGCCTCCCCGGGGCTCCGGGGTGCGCTGGGGCCGCGGGACGGAGCCCCCGGGCCGAGCTCTCCGCCCGCTCCCCGCGATGCCGCTCGGCCGGGCGGGCACTTCTCACCCTCCGGGCCCCATCGGCGCCTCAGCCCCTCGCCCCCCTCGGGCCTCCCCCGTCGCACTCACCGGTCGCCCCGAACACCACGATCAGCTTCTTGCCGGCCATGAGGCAGCGCGGGCGGTCCGGGGGCTCTGACAGGGCGAGAAGCAACACGGCCGCGGCTCAGCCCCCGGCCAGGTCCCGCTCGGGAGGGTGTCCCCGGGCACGGGAGGGTGTCCCCGGGCACGGGAGGGTGTCCCCGGGCACGGGAGGGAGGGAGCGGGGCGGCTGCGGGGCCATCGCCTGTCCCGGGGCACCGAGCGCGGATCCCTCACACGGATCCTCACCTCGGCTCCGCTCCAATCGGCTCCAATCGGCTCCTCCCGGCGCAGTTCGGCTCGGCTCGGGGCTAATCGGCTCGGCCCGGCTACGTTCGTTCTCTCTTCGGCGCGGCCCGATTATATTCGGCTCCGTTCGGCTCTGCTCGACTCCACCCGACTCCGCACGCACACCTGGGCGGGGCTCCGATGTCCATCCCCCGCCCGGCCCCGCCCACCGCCGGGACAGCCGGCAGGGGGCTCCGAGCTCGAGCGCATCCCATCCCACCCCACCCCATCCCACCCCATCCCATCCCATCCCACCCCATCCCATCCCATCCCACCCCACCCCATCCCATCCCAATCCCATCCACCCCACCCCCATCCATCCCATCCATCCCATCCATCCCATCCCATCCATCCCATCCATCCCATCCCATCCCATCCCATCCCATCCC